ATAAACGTTAACAAAATGTATTGAAACAAAGAATAGGCCATTCTGGGAAGACTGGCATAATGGGTTCTATGGGCAGATCTTCCGGTACCAACCCATATTTATAGAAAACTTATGTAAAAGGTGTATCATACACAACAATAAGCCAGAACTCTGAACAAATCCTCAGGTGCGATCACAAACTTCTTAATCCTAAATGAACTGATAATGAACCTCACCGACCAGACAAGTGAAATAAAATCTTGCACATCTACATCTTCAGTCCTTTCATCTACAACTGAGACAAAAGCAAGTAATAATCATTTTCAGTGCAATGTTTTTCTTCCCTGTCATCAATTTGTTATAAAGTACTTTATGAAAACCTGGTCATAATTTGCACATTATAGGTTAGCTTGGCACAAGGTCACAATTATGGAGCACTCACTATTCAGTTTTAATGCTTGTTAATCAATAGTCAAATGTGTGGTGGCCAACTTTACAAATTTAGTGCAGTAAGGTTAATCTTCAATTTCTCAGCCCTCTATCTGCTAGTCTACCACAGAACTATATTCACAAATCATTTGAGAATCTCTATTCCATGCTGAAATTCCAGATTTTATGAGTCCAAGAGGAGCAGCTTTAGGAATTTAATTTTGCTTACAAAAGATTATATTATTTCCTTGGTGTGTGTGTGTGTGTGAGAGAGAGTATATATATATATATATACACAAATAAAAGGTAATAAATTCATTGGTATATAATCCAAGTGGATGCTAGTAATATAAAACTGATCCACAAACAATATATATATTTAGGCAGCATATCTTCATTCAAGCATATTTCATTGAATAATACAGATGTATTGTGTCTATTTATTTTTATAATAATCCTTTCTAGTTCTCTAATTAGCATCTTTATTGTTAAGTTGGAATTCATCAAGGAAGGCGCCATAGTTTTTGTTATCCCAAGTCCTTTTGATCTACTCTGAGATCATCCACATGTGTGACTTGCGAAAACAAACTTAATGTAACTGTGATTTTTGTAAACACACATGAATGTACTGTTATAATTATTTTAAAATTTTAAATTTATCTCTTGTAGCTATGATGCTTTTGTAAAGAAGCATTCACAATATAAGGAAGCTAACCAGAGATGGTAAAAATGCAACATAGCATTAAATATTAGTCAAATGCATTTTAAAACATTGCTACTACATGCATAATAATTGAGAATTTGAAGTTTTTGTTTTTTTACCATGATTATATATATATATATATATATATATATATATATATATATATATAAAATAGCTGGCCACTTGTATTCAAGGATAACCATCTACAATTGTGGCTAGCCAAGCCCTATTGCAGATGCTTGCTCAGGCAGATTTGTGTTTGCTCAACACCCACACAGCCCACCTGTGGTATATACTGCAACTATGCTGAACAGACCATAGTTGCAGTTTCTGGGAGAGAGCGTGTTATCTCGCATGATCAACAATACGAACAAGACCAGCACACTTAAGTCCTTGGCCACAATGACTTGAGGCTTCCTGCTAGCACAGCTAGCACCGCCCACAAGAGGTCTGTCTACCTAATTTCACTCACAAGGCTTGGGTCAACCCATGATATGGTTTTTCAGGCACTTTCCAAAGGTGCCGCATGCTGGGATCGATCTTGAGCCAGTTCGATAACATCAGGAAATAGCTTTCCTGACAAATCGACCATGGTGAGATTTGAACCCGGGTCTCATAATATATATATATATATATATAAAACCACACACACACAGAGGTTCCATCAGTGTCCATAACTTGTGAAGCAGTTTTTTGACAAACACAACATTTCCTCTTTCCAAAAATCAAATCCCACTTGAAAGGAACAAGACATCGAGGAAATTCAAAAGGATGCACTGAGGAAGCTGCTGGCTATCCCAACAAAGAATGCTTCCATCAGTGGGAACAATGGTGGATAAAGTGTGTTGTTTCAGAAGGGAACTACTTAAAAGGAGATTACATGCCAAATTAATGTGTTACAGTTTTTTTTATAGCACCAGTCACAAAACGTTTTGATAAAATCTCAGAAAGTGACATATATATATATATATATATATATATATATATATATATATATATATATATACACACACACACACACACACAGGTTGTATCAAAAATATGTTTACAACTTCATGTTTGGGTTCCTCCCACCCAACCAAGGACAAATATCCATATAAACATATGTCTACAAATCCTTCATTTTTCAGTTATTTTAAGTTTAAGATTTATGGTAGACTCTGTTAAATGCACAATCCAAGATAAAATCCAAAAATACTTTTACAGACTTTGAGGGTGGTTTCCTGACACCAAAGCAAGGTAAAATGTCCATGTAAACATACGTCCAAAAGGCCATTGTTATACCTCAAAACAGTATAACAAATGCTCAAAATGTTCTTCACTTGCTTCTAAACATGCATGCACCCAACTGGCAGACCCTTTCAAATACCCCCATATATTTTTATGATAGATGTCTGCCAGTGCATTGCAAACAATATGATTAAAATGTGCTGGAGCCCTATCATGCATGAATCTCATGCATCTTCATATTAGCAGGGTTACATCTTCTAGCAGGTCTGGAACAAAACAAAGTCCCTGTAGGCATCTCCTGCAAGACGTGTTGGGAAGATATATGGACCTATCAGACAGCTACCTAAAACTCCAGGCCACACATTAATTTTAAAATGATGCTGATAAATAGCCTGTATTGTACCACGGGGATTCTGATTTTAGTTGTGTAAATTTGTTATTCCAAATGTTGCCTCATCTGTAAACAAGATTGAAGAGACAAACAATGGATTGGCAATTTGGGCATAAACCACCCGCAAAAGTTCTTCTGTGGTGAGTGATCAGAGAGTGAAAGACCCTGCACACATTGAAAATGATACTGAAGCTGCTCTTGAAGTAACTTCCATGTGCGATGTATGACATGCTAGATCCACTTGACATGTGCTGATATCTGGATCATCTCCAACAGCTTGTAGAACATGTTTTTTTTTTGGTCAGGCATACAAGTGAATTTCTGTCTTCCTAGATCCATAGTTTGTGGTGCCATGGATTCTGTCTCAACAACATGACAATAAACAGCAGCAAAGGTGACTTGGCTATCATTGGTCTAGAAATGCAATCTAATACAGCCGTGCAGCTTCATGTCCATTATCATTCATGCAGCAGTAGTAAAAATCATATGTGCTTGCCCATGAGATGAATATACTGCCATTGTTAAATGGAACACTTCTCAGCTCACTACTACACACATTGAAGACAGACTATCCACAAATATACATGAATGACAAATGTAACATAATCTACATAGCAACGCAGCACCATCTACTGTAACCTTACTTTAACCATAATAGCTCAAAAATGAAGGATTTGTGTAGATATATTTATATGGACTTTGGTTATTTGCAAATCAAGACACCGAAGGTTTTCCAAACAAGTATAGTTTCTTATACTTATAAGATTTCTATTATATATATATATATATATATATATATATATGAAGAAATATAGTTTTAAGGTGTGCTATATTTATGGGATAAAGTGCTCAATATCAGAGATAGATCATATGTAAATATAAATATAAAAGTGAACATTGAAATCAACACTTAGAGGCAACAGGCTGTTTCATGCTGGACACAATCGTCAGGTGGCCTGGACGATTACGTCCATCATGAAACAGCCTGTTGCCTCTGAGTGTTGACTTCAATGTTCACTTATATATATATCTTTTACAAACTTTCACCTAAGCGGATCGTCAGGGAAGGCTGGCTCACTTCTCTGACGATCTGCTTAGGTGAAACCTTGGTAGGTTTGTCTAGCTCTTTAGGTTTATATATATATATATATATATATATATATATATATATGGTTTTTTCATCACTTTAAACATTATTATTTTTAGTGGATACTCATATTTGAGTAGAATTACATTTATTTATAAAACAGTATATGTATTTATTTTTGTTTACCAAAAGTGAAATCCTTTTTGTCATGAATTTATGGGACCTAAAGGTAAAATTATCCAAAGTGCACTTCTTAGGGAATGGAACCCCCAAGCAGCACCTCCCCAATGGATGAAAAGTGCTTTGGTCAGAATCAATCCTTGAGGCATTTCAAACAGGAAATGCTAAGGGAACAGGAAAATTTCTGATCCAGCATTCACGTCCACATTTTGGACTACAAATTAATTACAACTGTGTGCCAAACAACATGGTGTGATAATTGGTATCATTGTTAATTCCTGATTGTCATTTTAAAGTAAAGATTAACTATGCTGCTTTTAAGGCACTTTTTCACAAAGGTGGGGAAATGCCCGACCTACAACATAACCAACGGGTACCATTCTACCTATTCTAAGGTAGGCTAACATCTTCATAAACCAAAGTTTTAAAAATGACACACGAAAAATCAGAGAATTATATTTTACAATAGATTCATTTTTCATTTTTCAATACATGAAAATCAAATAAAAATCCAAATAGAGACAAACAAAGCAGTTAGTGAAAAAGCTTCTATCATGTCGTATCATAGCCCAGAAGCTATTAATTTATATTGGACAACTTATATGATCAAAATTAATAACCAAGATTTTTCTTGTCATTTTCTTTTTTTAAGACTTTTTATTTGTGATATTCTTCAGCAAATTTTATTAAATTTTTGAAACTTTTTTTTGTTTTTTTGTTTTTTGCATGGTTGGAGATGCCAAGTCCAATTCAATTGGTACCAGTGCCATGTTCTTTGACTCGACCAATTCAAATGTTCGATGATAATCAAACTGGTGCTCGTTGGGTGTGGCTAATGCAATCACAAGTAATTTGCCAAATCTAATGTCACTGCATTTGATTCGATTTATTTACATCAATTTATGCCATGGACACCAAGCCCCACCCATTGACTTTTTTTTTTTAATATTCCTTTATTTTCTGAAAAATGATGAAGTAAGGAATGAATTATTTGGGAGTGTTCAGAAAAACCCTCCCCCAATAATCCACAACACTGCATTTTTGAAAAAAGAGAGAATTGTGTGTGTGTGTGTGCATGGAGAGAGGGAAAGAAGAAATTGTGAAAAAGAGAGAGAAAAGAGAATAAGAAATGAGCTTGAGTAATCAGAGTAAGGGAGAAAAAACAAAGAAAGGTGGTAAAAAATAGAGAAGAGAAAAGACAGAGGCAATGATAAAGAAATAAAAATAAAAAGAGGGAAAAAAAGCAAAGAGACAGAATGAAAAAGTGAGCAACTGTGAGACAAGCTAAAAATGAGGAAGTATGAAAAAAGAGACAAAAATGTTAAAAAAGAGTGGACTGAGAGAGAAAGGTGAGAAAAAGAAAAAGAAAGGTGGAAAGAGAGAGAAGAAGAAAGGTGGAGAAGACAAAATAAAAGTTAAAAGAGTGGAAGAAAAGAGAAAGGTGGAGAAGAGAAGAAAAGAGAAAGGTGGAGAAGAGAAGAGAAAAGAAAGGTGGAGAAGAGAAGAGAAGAGAAAGGTGGAGAAGAGAAGAGAAAAGAAAGGTGGAGAAGAGAAGAGAAGAGAAAGGTGGAGAAGAGAAGAGAAGAGAAAGGTGCAGAAGAGAAGAGAAGAGAAAGGTGGAGAAGAGAAGAGAAAGGTGCAGAAGAGAAGAGAAAGGTGCAGAAGAGAAAGGTAGAGAAGAGAAGAAAAGAGAAAGGTAGAGAAGTGTAGAAAAAGGTGAACAAAAACAATGCAAAGAAGATAAGAGAAACAGATAAAGGAAGAAAAGACAAGCAATGAAGAGAAAAAAAGAGATAGAAAAGAGAAGAAAAAAAGAGATAAAATTAATAACAGAGAAAATAAGATAAAGAAGACAAAGACAATATAGACAAAGAATGCAAAACAAAAATAAAACAAGAGAGAGGAATAAAAGAGCATTTACAAAGAATAAGGCAGAGGGAAAAATCAGAGAGAGAGAGAGAGAGCTGAATGAAGTGATTCTTTTGACAAGAGATGGGCACAAAGGATCAGAGGGTGTACAAGTCGACAAAGAAGCAACATGATTATTCTTCCATTTCCACAGACAACACTATCATTATTTCATCAGTGTTGAGTAAACAAAGATCTTTGGCAGGCAGGATCACTGAATAATATTTTTTGGAAATCAATCAATGGCACATTGTTTTTACAGTTCTTGTAAATGGGGAGCCACCCTCAGCCTTGCTTAAATGAACACCGAGCTAGAATTGGTCCAACACAACGTAGAGATATTTTCCCTTGATACAAAGTCAGTTACATAAAGCAGATAGTTATCCATATCATTATGACATAATATAAAAAGATGTGGAAGTATATTAAGGATATCAGGAAATGCTTTTACTAATTGTAATGGCAAACATTCGTACAATTTAAGAATTTATGTTTACAAGACTGATGGCTACAATTGAAAGTTAATAATACAAAATAATAAAAAAAAATCACTAAATATTTGATCTGGTCTTAAAATTACACCAAAGATTAGATGTGGAAAATGCAGATTTTACAAGTAATATATGAATTACTTAAGGAGGTACCTTCAAGTTTCAAAAAGATGGACTGGAATGATTATTCTTTTTGGGAGAAAAATTCCCCCAGGACATTTTTCTTCTAACTTCCCACTTTTATCAAATATTCAGGAAATTTCGTTACATCTCTTAATTTATGCTGTAGACATTTCATTACCAGAAATTATGAAAAATTCCAGCCATCCCCTTGGTTGGAATAACCATGACATCTATTTGAAACAAAGATGTAACAAGTATTACAATCTCCACTCACCAGCTGAAAACTCAAGCTTATTAATCAACAGTTTGTCAATTTAGCCACAAAGCCAAAGCAAAGGGAAGAAATATTCACAGTTCCTGAATTATTGATTGTCATGCTGAATGGTTCTTCTCTTAAGGAGGCTCCTTGCTTTGAATGCCAATTAGGACTCAAGCTCACACCAGATCCTCAATTGGATCTCATGTATATGATCCATTGCTAAAGAGGCTGGTAAAATAGTTGGTTCCTTGTACTGCTCCAGAAAGTACCTGACTCTGCTACCATGCTATATCTTTACAAGAGTGAGACCAGACCAAAAATGGAGTATTACTGCCATAACTGGGCTGGAGCTGCCCAATCACCACTTTTCAGCCTTGACAGAGTTCAAAATCATTTATGCAGCTGAAAAAAAAAAAAAAAAAAAAAAAAAAAAAAAAAAAAAAATGATCAGCTGTTGAAATTAAAGTTTGGCATTAGGGCAGTTCTTCTGAAGACAAACATTGCTAAGAGCTACAAAGGATAGTAAGTTGTGGAGAGCCATGATCACTTATGTCCTGAAGGGACACAGTACATAGAAGTAGAACTGACTTGTAATATTCAGTAAATAAAAAAAAAAAATAAAAAAAATCAAATTAATAACATTTGCTCATCACTGAACAGACTCTGAATTTTCTCCAGTCATGATGGATGTTTGTTGTCTGAATGAAGCTCTATGCCTTGAACATCTATTGGGACTCAAGCTCACCCCAGACCTCAATTGGAACTCATATATGTGATCCATTGCTAAGGAGGATGTAAAAATGGTTGATTCCTTGTCCCACTCCAGAAAGTACCTGACTCCTCCTGACATGCTCTATCTTTACAAGAGTCAAATGAGAGCAAACATGGAGTATTACTGCCATATCTGGGCTGGATTTATTCAATCCTCACTTTTTAGCCTTGATAAAGTTCAAAAGAGTCTACGTGGCCTTCTGGGAAAAATTACCATATTTGATGGCATATAAAGCTCACTTTTTTTTTACTAAAAATATCTTTTAAAATTCCCCTGCATCTTATATGCCATATGTAGGTTTAAAATTCGCGATAGTCGTCTGAAATTAGATGATGCATCATTTATGATAGTAGTATTGAAAATGAATATCAGAGTTTTGATAACAAAGATGGCAAATTTTATGGATTTGAAGATGAATAAAATTTTAATGATAACTGTACTGTTTTGCTCAATGGTAATAATTACTTGATTTTTATTTTGTTTTCTTACCTTTGAATATAATAAAGTTTTTATATGCTTGTGTTCTTTTTTTCCTATTATTTTTCATTTAATTGTAATCATGGCTTGTTTAACCAAAATGATAACTCATAAATATAGCCGAGGTTGTACCATTTACTAATAATTTTACTAATTACTAATTTTTTCTTGATTTGCCCTGCTGAAATTGGGGTGTGTCATATACATTGTCAAATATGATATTTTCCACATTACAGCCTCTTCCCCACAGACAAAACATTGCAAGCCTCTTGTTACTCTATCACTTTTTCTATAGCAAATGTTTAAACAAGCTACATTTATTCATTCCATCCATTCAGACCTCCACAGCTAAGATTGTGCCATGTCCAGCTGGACAATTAATTCACATATTCTCATATTGTATTGGCAAGAATGCAATTCCATTTTGACAGCTTCTTCCTAAGAAATGCTACTTTGTGAAACAGGCTACAGAGTGGATGCTTCCCTAATCATTACAATCTTAACTGCTTCAAGTCTAGGGTTAACTGTTATCTTTCTTATTCATCCTCATAATTTGCACTTTTTATTTTCTCTTCTGACATCCATATAACAGCCTTATTCAGTAATACTCTACCTTGAGTAGCTCTTGAGCTTTGTATTTGGTGAACATTTAGCAAAAAAAAAAAAAAAAAAAAAGAAAGAAAGAAAGAAAGAAAGAAGCTGACCTGACAATAATATGGTGTAGCATTATAGTTTGTTTGCCACATAACAGATTAGTGAGATGCATTAACAATAAGGTAAAAAAAATGAAAAAAAAATGACCATACTTCTTTTTAGTCAGTCTTGTATTTGTCAAATGTCTGTAAAACAACTGGAATAAATTATACAAGTTACATAAATTTTTTGGCTGAAAAAACAGGATCCATGGAAATTCCATGGTGTACTTTACAAATTCTCATATCTTGATAAGAGAGAAAATAATGAAGACATTAGAAATGGAATAATGAATTTTTTCCTGCTGAAAAAAAAAAAAAATCAAAAAAAATCAATCATTTAATGAATGCAAAGTTTTTCTTACCTTTTATCAGCAATTCGGTAATCACAAAGAATAATAACCTGGAAAATAAGAAAAAAAATTAACTTACTTGTTTTAGAAGAGAATTAAATTATAGACACACAATATTTGCCTCTCGTCTAAGATATATTTAACAAAAAAAAAAAAGCTCATCCTAAAATCTCCAATGTTTTACCACTATTAGATTAATATTGAATCAGCCTTGATTGACTCACTTGTCCACTGATGATACCAGAATTAAATATATATACATGATTATAAATAATTCAATTATACGACGGACGACCAAGTATGTATATGTGTCTGCATACATCGATGTTTGCGTTAGTACGATGAATGACAAAACGACAAAATTTCCCCCACCACTTCCACAATAACACCAATACACGCAATCTACATAAACCCAAATTTTTTAAAACATTAATCAGTTTGTCTGATGATCGCTAAAGCGTGAAACCCAGGGTCACAAAATCACATCTATCCAACCAAATTATATATATATATATATATATATATATATATATATATATATATATATTCATACATGTTTCATTAAATAATATAGACAAGTGGTGTCTATTTATTTTATGTAAATTCTTTTCATAACGTCTGATAAGCTTAATAACATTATCATTAAACAAAGAAAGAAAATCACAATATTGATCCATATTTTTTAATCCAATCTAAGCTTTCGGCTTACATAAGCCATTATCAAAGATGTCAATTACTGTACAAAATATTAAGCAATATATGGACAAGACAGTGATGATAGTCTGTGATTGTTTACATGGATGATTTCCTAGCAACGATAAACACGTGCATATATAAGAAGAAAAAAAAAAGTCTGTGATTGTTTACATGGATGAAAAGCAACGATAAACACGGCATATAAGACGCTAGAAGTTAAAAAGTTCAGTTCATGATGTCACACATGACCACGCGAGAGTGAATTCGAGAAGTATTAAGTATGGGAAGCCGTTGGTATAAACCAATGGCTTCTGTTACCAATTATAGACATTTAAGGATATTTGTAGAGATTCCATAGTTGATTTTGTTTAGGTTAGGTTTCAACTGTTTGATGTATATTGCTTCAAGGATTTTTAGTTTTTGTGTATATATATATATATATATATATATATGAAAAGCTGCTCAAATATACTGTAAATGTATGTGGATGGATGGATTCTTCCATTGAGTTTTTATTGAACAACCTGCCCTGCAATGTAATGCACACTCTCCCCGCAACCCCCATCACAATACCATATCCTGTATTGATAAACTGTGTACTACATGTCAGATGATGCTACAATCAAAGGCATTTTTGGATAGTAATCTTCTAACTCCTAGCCGCAAGATGGCTGATGGCTCCTATAAGAAGCTCATTCACCATTTGCAAACCCACTCCACTGGTAGCCAGTCTAAGAGAAAGACAACTCTGAATTCAAAACCTGAGAATGGCTGTTGGGGAAACTTGTAGCACACTGTGTGCACCAGATCTCTGTGTTGAGTTCTTCTGAGAAGTGTGGTTGATTCTGCACAAGTCTTCAACACCAACCAAATCATATGTACAGGTAGTCTGGCTGTTCAGTTCTAAGAGATGAATTCCTGAAACCTTAGATGCTGAAGACAACAGGAGAGAACACACACAAACATACACACCACCAATAAGATAATGCTTCATTTAGAACCTAACATACTGAATATATTTCAGTAAAAAAAAAAAAAAAAAAAAATACAAAGTACAAACTGTCATGTGAAGATAATATATGAAAGTGAACACATGAACCCAACAAGAAAAGAAAAAACTGAAAGTTTTGATAATGACTAATGATTGCTAAAAGTACTTTGATACAGGAAAATATATGAACCTGAAGCCAAGAAACTAACTAGGAACATTAGAAACATAAAATAATCACCAATAACTTTCACTGGTATTTGAACAAACTTCTATAGATGAAAAAATATTGCCCAAATACACCAAATAAACACACACATATATATATATATATATATATATATATATATACACACACACACACACACACACATACACAAGGTGTTTATCAAGAATTTGTATAATTTTAACAGATTCTATAAACAGATTTATTACAAAACTTTAGATGTTAGTTATTGCAAAAATCACTGTATACATGAGCAAGAAGACAGGAACTTCTTAGGGTAATTTCTATTCCCTGAAATTTTTTGGCAAGTGTGTATATATATATATATATATATATATATATATATATATATATATATACACTTCTTGGAAATGTTTTCCACTGACAGGAAATAGAAAGAGTATATTGAATCAATTGCATAGTCTGCAGCAAAGAATGTTAGTTCACTATGTTGTGCTAAATAATTTTTCTTGTCAGAATCTATCTTAAATATTTAATAAGTCTACTATTCACCTTTGATTTGAATATTAATGTCACATCTGGTCTGATGCTCCTGCTATATACTTAAAGATTCTTGATAAAATCCAAAGAAGAATCTGTAATGTTATTAGTCCTGGACGGGCATCTCAGCTTTGGCCCATTCCCCACCATTGTAATGTATCTTCCCTTTGCCTTTTCTCTAAATACTTTCATGCTAACTGTTCTGATGAACAACAATTTACTAAGTATCTCTTGCAGTACATTCACATTTATCTATATATTTCACTTGATTCATATCAATCTATTTAAGTCCGTTCATACCTCTCTATGTACCGATCTCAGTTCATGTCTATTTATCTCATTCTGTTCACATTTATCTATCTCAATTTATATCAATCTATCTGGGTCCATGTGCTCCTGTTATATATCTCAAGATTCTTGACAAAATTCTAAAAATGGTCTGTAATGTTATCTATCCTGATCTTCAGTTACTTTTGCACCTACATTTACCTGGCTTCCCTCTGTCTTTTCTACAAATATTTTCATGGTGTCTGTTCTGATGAGCTTTTTTCCTTAGTGCCTTGATTGCACGAATTTACGTGTGCTAGTATATTGGCAACTAGGTCTCACCATTTTAGTGCTGAACTAGCTAGCTGTAACTGCCACTTCTATTCTAAGTTTCTTTTCTCGCACTTCTCATCTGTGTAACTCCCTTCCAAATACAATCTTCAGAAATTTAAATGCAATATCATTCGCCGTCTTCCTGAATCCTGTTCATTTATTATCCTTTTCCTCACTTTTCTTTCACTTCCTGTAACCCTGCTGCATCCTAGTGGCTTTATCACCTTGCTTGGAGTGAAATGATAAAAAAAAAGAAAAAAAAAAAAATGACGGGGGATTGGCTTTGTCATGCAACAAAATCATCAATCAATTTCCTTGACCACAAAAAAGGTTCCTATTTCTAACGCTTCATTCCAATGTGTCAACTGATTTTCCTGCAAGATGACATGTTGCATGTACTTCATTTTTCTTAAAAACTTCCGACAAAGAATTTATCTTCAAGTTCAGAGCTCTTCCAGAACCTCCAGTTTCCTTTAACTCAAATTCTCTTCATTCTTTTTTTGTAAAACCTGCAAATCATCCAGACACATGATTACACCTGCCACATCAACAACATAAGCCTCAATTCTTATACATTCCTTAAATTTTGTTGCACTTTCTCTAAATTAAACATAACAGTGTAAACAGTGTCAGGCTTGCATTTCATATTTAGCCATGTTTTTCATTAAAATATAGTAAAATTATCATTTCCATGAACAATTCTAAAAGTGAATGCATGTTGAAACATCAACAAGCTAAATAAATTTCTAATATATATATATATATATATATATATATATATATATATACAAGTATATGATTGGTGTATACAGAATAAATTCCAATAACCAACAATTACTATTCTTAAAAGAGTGCTCAATACAGAGTAGAGCAGATATAATTATTTATTTAAAAATTATAACATAAATATGTGATTTTATGATATATAATTTTTAAATAGATAATTATATATATATATATATATATATATATATATATATATATATATATATATATATATATATATCTCCACACATGGAGGAAGGATAAACTGTCATCTAAATTATGCAAAAATGAAAATAACACTGGGTCTTCAAGCAGCCACCCTCTTGACTCAGGGCAGCACTACCTTCTGAAGGTACTGGATGTAGGCCTATGTGTTGATTCTGAGACCCTCACCAATAAATTTGGGAGTTCTTTTCTCACCAGAATGATCACAGTGGGTTTTCCAAGCTGCCATACCTTCATAATCATTAGACTCATCTAACTCATTCTGAATCCTCTGCACTGTCCTGAGATTGACACCCAAACACACTGAAATATTCAGATCGGAGATTGCAGTGTGAATGTCAAGCAGTACAGCATACCGTTTTCATATTTCTGGTGGAGTCAATTGTGCCATGGTGCTCTTTTTCTCACAGATATTGCCCAACTGGCATTACTATAATGTGTGTGTATATATATATATATATATATATATATATATATATATATATATACACGCACACTGTCAGATTCACTCTGTCCTTCTTCAGCTGATATTTGTTAGAATTTTGAGCTGAATCCTTTATTTAGTCTATTTCCACATACCATACCTTAGTTTTAGTTAATTCACCTTGATAACTCTCCAAGTTTTTGTTGTCTCCACTGAAGCCAGGGATGGAATCACAACTCTTTGGGTCAAGTCACTTTTTTGATTAATCAACACCTTTATCCACTTAGCCATACTGAGTGAATTTTTATGTCTCATGAACTTAAATTCCATTTTTTACCAGAGTTTATATATATATATATATATATATATATATATATATATTTTACAGTACTTCACATGTAAAGTCTCCCCAAAATTCACAAAGATGGTATTCTTCTCAGGCCAATTGTTACTAGCCAAGGCTCTGCATGCCACCCTCTTAGTGACATCCTTGTGGATGCAATGTCAATACCTATCTATTATCCTGATTACTCTTCTTTTGTTCTTGCTCCTTACAAATGTTTCAATTTCTAATTCTTCCACACCCAGTAACCCCTTGTGTCTTAGTGGCAGGACTACCTTCCCTGGGGTGAACTGGGCTAAAAAAAATGATAAAAGTTGCTCTGGCCAGAAATAAACTAGTAAATTCGCTTTGAAAAAGCTATGCAACCATCAATTTTTAAACTCCAGCTGTTGGCTATAAACATTTGTTCTATAGTGTATGTAATGAAATAATGATACCTATTAATATAAGTAAAATCATATAATTCAACATATATCAAGGTGAACAGAATTTCTGCCAATAATGTGTCAATATCTAGAGCCATAATTATTAGATTTGATTTTTATTTTTACACTTTATCAACACTTTGTATTTAAAACTATCATATTTTTGATTGTATGAATAATTCTTGTTTGGCAAGTGAATATTGCATGAAAAATTTAATGAGAATAACAATGATTTTTTCCAGATACAAGTCCTACTATTAGAAGAAACAAAACCATACCCTTCCCAGGGGTATTTGCATGTAAGTAAATATTCTGCAGCTAACTGGAATTTAAACTATGCTCCACAATTTCTCATTCTAAGCTGCTATCATTACACTACCTGCACACTCCAATTGGCGAGGAGGATGGTTAAATATCAAGCAGAATGAAAAACAAAACATGTCGTCAAAAGGTGGATGAAGCTTCTTGTAGAGTCAACAGCTATCTAGAACAATGGATTAGACTGAGATATTTCCCCATTGAGCTACTAGATCTAAGGTCAGAGGAGAAATCAGAATCAAAGCTCTGAACATCTTGATTTTTGGAGGTGCTTCCATAAACTGTGGTATCATCTAAATAGATGTTTACTAAGGAGCTGACAATGTTCCTAAACAGATTGTTAATAAAAAGCAGATAAATATTTGGATAGGCAAATATGTAGAGGTAGATGAATTTAGAGGAACTGGTAGAGGTCGACAAGCAAACATAAATAGATAGAGGTGGACAAATATGAACAAACAGAGGGAGACAAATGGACATTGGCAGGCAGAAATAGACAGGCAGATATGGACTGTTAGAAGCAGATGAATGGATCAGAGCAGATAAAGGAAGAGGGATGGACAAGGAGAGGCAGAGTGAGACAGACGGACACGAACTGGAAGAGCGAGACAGATGGACACGAACTGGAAGAGCGAGACAGATGGACACGAACTGAAAGAGCGAGACAGACGGACACGAACTGGAAGAGCGAGACGGACGGACATGAACAGGCAAGGCGAAACGGACGGACATGAACAGGCAAGGTGAAACGGATCGATAAACGGACGGACAGATGAACAGGCAAGGTGGAAACAGGAGAGAGAGACACAGATGGAACAGGTAGAGAGACACAGATGGCCATGGACAGTTAAAGAGACACAGATGGCCATGGACAGGTAGAGAGACACAGATGGCCATGGACAGGTAGAGAGACACAGATGGCCATGGACAGGTAGAGAGACACAGATGGCCATGGACAGGTAGAGAGACACAGATGGCCATGGACAGGTAGAGAGACACAGATGGCCATGGACAGGTAGAGAGACACAGATGGCCATGAACAGGTAGAGAGACAGATGGCCATGAACAGGTAGAGATAAATATAGAGATGTGAATAAGTAAAAGTAGATTGAGAGATATGAAGAGTTATGGTTAGAAAGAGACAAATAGATAATGATTAATCTAAACCACACAATGAAATTTGAAATGAAAAATGCAATAATCATATAAAGATAAATATAAAACATTTAGATAGATATAAACCGACTGAAATATGATAAGGAATTTATTGGCAAACAAACCTATTTGCCCTAAGTTCCAGCAATATATACAAACCTACTAATACAATTTTACTATGTAATCATAATAGAGAGTGATAACTTAAGCACAGACTTTCCATCATTTGCACTGAAGAGGGGCTGCCAAAGAAAAATACCAAATCTGGACACCTGTTGGGCATGCAAACATCACTGGAGTTGCAATGGAAGCTGATATTTCTTGCTGGATGCACACTGATGGTGAAGATAAACAGATAGATGGAGGTAATCCAATTTAACTCAAGTTGTTACATTGAATTTATCTTTTAAATCTGTAACCAAGTTACTATGGAAGGGAGATTTGCAACCCACCATCATTGTTCTGTGCTGAGATGTGTACAATTTCTAAAACAATGACACAATACACTTTATAGAACCTAATCATTTTCATGGTAAACAAACTTGCAATATATTTCTCAAGTAATTTTCTTATATTGTCTTTCTAGAGAAAATGACTTGTAATGTGTTTCTATAGTAAAGATCAATTACAGTGTATCGCAATAGAAAATTATATTTAACAGACTTTATAGGATACAGTTAATTTCTGTCAAAGTAATGATAAAGTATTTTTCCGTTAGTTCTGTCCCATGTGTGATCCATGCTTTGGCGATCATGTATCTTTCGATACACGACTGACAAGGCAGATTTTTTCCCACAGTGGGTTGCCATTTCTTTTTGCAGTAGACCAGTTGCCATCCAAGGCTACAGAACCCAGTCTGTCCTGCTGTTTATCCATAGCTGGTGGGAGAAGAGGATGCGTACCTTTCCCAAGTGAATGTAATGGATTTGACTGGAATTCAAACTCAGCTCTCCGATTCCTAAACAACAAGCAGCTATCCATTACTCCACCATGCCTCCTCAATTTGTTTTTAATAGAAATTTTTATTTCTAACTCTGTCCTGTAATAGGTGTTACATTTAGTGTATGAAATGTGTATGCAAATATAGCAACTATTTTGGGACAGACATTGTATAATAACATAATGTACTATTTCTCTCCCATAACAGTCAATACATTTTGTGCATGTAATCTATATGCAAATGTAACAACAATAATGGGACATATTGAATAATAATATAATGTACAACCTTTATCCCGTAATAGTTGATACATTTAGTGTGTGAAATGTGTAGGTAAATCTAGCAATTATTTTGGGACAGATGTTGTATAATAACATAATGTACTATTTCTGACCCATAATTGTTAATACATTTAGTGCATGAAATTTATTTCAAAATATTTATTATATTCATGAATAAAAGGAAATTAAAAGATAAATCAACCATTCATCCTTGCAATGAAATACTGCTACCATATATGGTCTGTTCATCTTGAGGTCCTTGACAAAATCCAGAGATGGATATGCAATGTGATTGGTCCTGATCTGGCTTCCCTCTGTCTTTTCTACATGTATTTTCATGGCAACTGCTCTGACAAGTTACTTTCACTGGTTCCCAAGCTGCATGAATTTAAGTATGCTACTAGGTTGGCATCTTGGTCCCACCCTTTCACTGTCAAAACGGCTAAATGTAGCCATCTCTTCTACTCCAACAGCTTCTTATCTCGCACCTCCTGTCAGTGGAACACCCTTCCTATCACTTGCTTCCCTGATAGCTATAATCTTTAAACATTCAAATGTAATATCAATTGACATCTGATGCCTTGACCTTGATCCCTGTCCTCTTTATCCTTTTTCTAAAAACTCCTCTTTACATTTACTCTCACTCTCACTAATCCTTTGTGTGCTAGTGGCACACCTGCCTTGCTTGGGGTAATTTGCTTAAAAAAAAAAAAAAAAAATTAATGTTGCAGCAGATTCCAAATTCATGTAACTTGCTCCTATTTTTGTTAAGAATTTCGAACAATGTGCATTTTTTAGGCTGATATATCACCACGAGTGGCCAGGCTGCTGGGGGAAGGGTGTTTTTTTTTTTGTGACACCATCTCTAGATAAGCTCCTTAACCTTGGTTGGTGACCTGAGTTGAGGATTTGTAACTACATACTAGCCCAACCGTAGACAAATTTCAAATACATTCATCTCAATTTCTCTGGCAAGGCTTGGGTCAATCACGGTTTGGTTTTCAGGCACTTCCCAAAGAATGGTATTTTCAAGAAGTCACCTCCTTGACTGATCAACCATAGTGAGATTTGAACACCAGACCTCATGGTGAGAACACCAACATTCTAACCATTTGGCTAGGTAGACATATATAAAAAGATAAACTCTTTGAAAATGAACTGTTACTTTGTGAAACAAACTCATGAGAGAATGCTTTCCTAACAACTACAATTTGGTCTCTTTAATTCCAGAGTCAACTGATATCTATCCTACTCACCCTCATGATACTCTTACTTCCCCCTTATGCTATCTTACAATGTCATTAACCCTCTATCTTGAGTGGGCCTTAGGCCTTGTACTGAGTGAACTAGTAGTTATTGTAAATGAAAAAAAAAAAAAAAAGAAGAATGCTTATCTACCACAATGAACCATAGGAGTAGGGGAAGCCATTTTTTCTGCATTTGGTATTGGGGAGTTGGTACAATATGAAAAGTCTATTAATGTGATTGAGTATCAAAATGTATTACAAAATAAGTGACCCCCAAGTTGAGAAAAGTTATGTGGCAGAAATAAAAAGCAAGAAAAAGCTTCAGTTCACATGACAAAAGTCAACAAAATTGTAATTTGAGCAGAATTTTTTGTCTACAATATTTTCACTTGGTTAGTGGCCAAATTTTAACCCTATAGGAAAAATATAGGCACATATTAGGTCAAACTGGCTATGGGAAAATATGGAAACACTGACCTACAGTGGGAAGCAGTTTGAAATGAATGGAACAACACTTATATGAAACAGTGTAAACAAAAATCAGACAGTTTGTCAAAACAGTTTAGTTTCCTGGGGGGGAAAAAAGGAGGAATGAAAAGCCAGCTTATACTAAAATGTAAGCTGTACACAATACGGGTTTTAAAGCAATGTTAAACAGTTCACCAATATTTATTAGAATAAAAAATTGCAAAAAAAATGATAAAAAGTCTCCCTTCTATCTGAATTTCTGGGATAAGAAGGTATCATTTTTTACACATTATATTTGAACTAATGTCCTTATCTTTGTTGCTATCACAATGGCCTTCATCAAGCGTATATCAATACAGGCCCTTCATCAGGCGTATATCAATACAGGGAATTCTGAACTAAACCCTTTATTTAATCCATGAAATCCTCTGTATTGATATATGCCTGATGAAGGCTGAAGAGCACAATGGCCAAAATGTGAATAACAACAACAAAGATGAGGACAAAAGTCAGAATGTAAATAGTATAAATAAAGCTTGAATTATTTTTTTTTTCACAGGTGGTACATTTTCTCAACACCTTAAGATGCTACATTGAAAAAAAATTTTGTTCTAAGGATTCGAATCATGTTCTTAAATAGCCTCATCAGATCTAGACTTTAATATGGATGTCACTGTTCAGAAATGTCTAAATTATCATCTGTAACAGCCATTTTCCCAGATCAATGATGAAAAAATATACCTTCAAATGAATGAATCCTTTAAATAAAAACAAAAAGATGATTGTTTTTCAGACAAAAGAGATTGGTGCTACACAATCATCAAGACAAAGAGCTATACTATATATGAAAGCAACAACTCTTAAACAATTCCAATAGCAGCAATAACAAAAATTACATGCCCATGTAACTGGAAGAGAAAATAATGATATAATCAATCTGTTCACTTCCTTCACAATCAAAATCAAAAGGTTTTTATTTTTTAATCATTTCACTCCAAACAAGGAAATAAAGCCACTGAGACACAAGGAGTTACTGAGTGTTAGAGGATATGAGGAAAAAAAAAACACCATTAAGGAAGAAGTCTTAATGTGAAGTGAATGGAGAACAATAAAACAAGAATCAAAAAGACAAAACATAATGATTGACATTACATTTGAATTTTTGAATATCAAAAGTGGAAAGCTAGAAGCTGGAAGAGAGTTCCACAAGCAAGAAATGTGATAGAGAAAACTGTTAGCATAGAACTAACAGTCACATCTTGCCATTTCAACCGTAAAATGATGAGACATTGCTACTAATCTAATACTGCACTTAAAATAATAAAGTCTAGGTACCATAGAGGAAAGTTCATCAGGAAATTGCCATGAAAGTATTTATAGAAAAGGCACAGGAAAGCTCAAGTCAATATGCCAGGTCAGGACAAATAACATTGTAGATTTTTCTTAGGATTTCATCAAGAATCTCTAAATACATAGCAGAAACACCAGACCAGATGTGGCAGGAATATTCAAAGCAAGGGTGAATGGTGGATAATAAATATAAGAGATTTGGTTGAGAAAAATTCTTGAGCATATAGTGAACCAAATTTTCTAGTAACTGATTCAATAAAATCTTTCCACTTCATGTCAGCAGACAGAAAATGTTAGTCTGAGAAGGTGCAATGAATAACTCTCTCCTTGAGTTTAGCATCAACCAAAATGATGGAAAATTAAAAAGGGTTTTCTCAGATAAAACTTCTATGAACAGGAGAAAGTGCTATAAAAATTAACTTGAGGGTTCTAATTTCGTGAAAAAAATTACAAAAAGAAAAAAAACTTTATAAATTTCAACAAACTGGTCAATGAATACTTGATGTTTCCCATACAGAAATGGTTATGCCTACCTTTATCATTAGAAGAGTTTGCTTCAAGACACCACTTCACATTATTTTCAAAAATTAATACAGGACCCAAAGAGTTGTGAGTTTAATACCTGGTTAAGGCAGTGGAGAACTTGAGAGGTGAATTAACAGGAGATAACTTATAACTAACATGCATTAGACATGGTATGTAGAACTAGAACAGTCTACCCCAGCGAGCGAAATAAAGGGTTCAGTTTGACATTCCAACCACCTGAAGAAGGCTGGAATGTACAACAGCCAAAACTTTGTAAAAAAAATAGCAACAAAGATGAGGACAATAGTCCGAATAATGTAAACAGTGTAAAAAAAAATGCTATGTTGGCTTTCTATAGAAAATGGACAAATTATTCTGATTTCATTTCTTGAGCAAAATTATTATACTGTATAATATTATTTAAGACTTACAGTTTACCTAAGTCTAAAAAGCAACTTGCAATTCTTTTCTATTATAAATTATTTGAAAGAATTTTAATACATCAAAATCAAACGGGTACACAAATTTAACTGAGAAGTGTTTTAACAGATAATAGCAAACGTGACACAAAAACTCAAAAGATGCCTTGGAATTGCAAAAATCACCCAAATGCTATAAAGAAAAAAAGAAGCCCTCTATATATTAGAGCATTGTGTGAGTTTTACTGATCAGTTTTTGTTTTTTTTGTTTTTTTACACACAAAAAAAAAAACCAAAAAAAACAAAAAAAAACAAAAAAAACAAAAAACAAAAAAAAACAAAAAAACAAAAAAAACAAAAAAAAACAAAAAGGATATTGCATTATAAACAAATAATTTTTTTTTATTTAAACAAGGCAGAGTGGAACAAAGGACATAGGCTCAGATTGAGGATTCGGAGAGCCAAGTTCAAATTCCGTTCGAATCCATTACATTCATTTATGTGTTAATAGCATTAGGAAAGGTATGAATCCTCCTCTTCTCTCCACAGCTATGGGTAAGTAGCAGGACAGACCGGGTTCTACAGCCTTGGATGGCAACTGGTCTACTGTAGAAAGAAATGGCAACCTACTGTGGGAAAAATATCTGCCTCGTCAGTCATGTATCAAAAGATACATGATCGCCTAAGCGTGTATCATGCATGGCACATAAATGACTGAAGTTTTTTGAAGAGGTTAAAAATCATGAATTTTTGGTGACTGGTTGCATTATACAGAGGCAAACTTTTTCTGGAGAGGTTAAAATTCATGTAAAAAAAATTCAGGAGTTGACCTATACATGAAGAAACTTATACACTAGATTATATGGTATTAAGAACCAGGAAAATTTCATTAGAAACAATGAAAAAGAACGCTGAACAACAGCATAGTATCAATCTGCTTGTATGTCAATGAATGCTGGACAATTTTTTCACAGATGACGAGGAGACTGAAAGCAACAGAGATGTGGTTCTAAAGAAAGATGCTGAGAATACCATGGATAGAACATGTGATCAATGAGGATGCTTTACGGAAAATGAAATAAAAAAAAAAGATATTTTTCTCATTCGTGCTATGTTTGGAAAGGTAGGACTCCCATTCTGCACCCCTTTTCTTCAGTTTGTTATTGTTCCTCTAGCATGTTTTTTTTTTTTTTTATTTAAAAAGTGTAAGTTTACAGAGCTTTGCACTTCAACTCTTCATCTTTTCCAACACAAGCTGAAGAGCATACATGAAGATCTCACAAAGACAGAACTGACCTGCAATCAAGTTTGTGACAGAGCAAGAAATTGATTTGCACGAAGGACATTTGTTGCACAATGCTTCCAATGGAGCTGCTGTAACCAATTAAAAAAAAATTACTTTGTTTCAGTTTCAGGTATGAAAATATAAATTTAACAATATAGATATCTTTTGTGATGTCAACGAATACTCATTGTCACTTTTGTAATGCTCATTGCAGTAGAGACTATGTAATTGCAGATTACAACTAAAGTAATGCTGTTGAACAATGCTGGTGTCAGATACCTTCAAATATCACTCACATTAATAGTACTTGCTCGATAATATTTGCTTGAATAGTAATCTGTATAGTGATCTAAATAGAGAAATAGTATAGTGAATAGCATAGAGAGTAGCGGTCCATATAGTAATAGAGCATATAGAAATGGTGATCCATATAGTAATAGAGGTTAGAGTAGAAATGGCAATCCATATAGTAACAGAGGACAGACTAGAAATGGCGATCAATTAGACGCCAAGCTAATTCCTACTTATGCATTTCCTCTATGGTCACGTGGTCTACTTAATTCAATAATGGGATTGCCTGTGTTTGCTCACTAACAATCTATGTTCAAACTCAAGTGTCGGCAGTGACACTTTATTCCTATATAACAATATCATAAATTTCCAATGAGAGATGTATACTTCTGAAGAAGAGTAACTGAGTCTTCCTTTGCTATAAGGACCTCCATGGCTCAAATGGTAAAGGCACATCTGGCTAAAAGGTAATTTTCCTAGAAAAAAAAAAAAATGAATGCTGGTTCAATCCCTTGCAAGAGTCTATTCTTTCATGAAACCTTCGAAGGTCTAGGTTGGTATACATTTCCCTGTTTTTAAAATGACAGGAATGTCTACTGAAAGATGTGTGCCAACTAAAATAATCATAATGGTACTATTAGTCGTTTTCCTATAAAGACACATTTGACTGGGCAGTCAGTACAGCTTTTGGTTGAAATTTATAAAATCTTTCTCTACTTAAAAGTTTTCAGGAAAATACTTTTTCAAGTCCAGTAACTTTTATTGCACTTTCCAGTATTGATCGGGGTTTTCCTCCTAGTTTCCTGGTGACAAGTGACATTCTGGTTGGCCATAAACTGCTGTCAACCCAGAAAAAGTATGCCCTTGTTAATCACTAGTGAAAATGCATAACTAATGACTATGTAGAAAAATGGTGTTTCGTAGCTGAACATTTGTTCTATCCAACAATGTTATTGGGCTCCCTGTATCTGCCTTTTTCTGGGGAAATAAATAGGAGGTATTACTTTCAGATCGACCCTTGTGTGTGTAGGTAAAACTGAGAGAAGCAAATTGAAGATATTTTTTTTCAACAGGTGCTATCATAAAAACTGCATCTATTTACCTCTTTTACAATTTGTGCATAGGTTTCAACAGAGCCTGTCAGAAAAATTCTCAAGTATGCGCCTTTATGTCACTTGGGGAGCCAAACCCAGAGGCAGAAGGTGAAAAGTTGGTAAGGACAGATGTAATGCTGAAGAGTGAGAGAGTAGAAACACTGATTGATGGACAGAGAGAATGGGTGAGGAGGAGGGCAAGACAGGGCATAGCAATTTAAAAAGAAATTGGGAAGAAAAAAAATCGAGGTTGGAAAAGAAAAATGGCGGTAAAATGGATAAAAAAAACTGAGAAAACAACACAAGTTTTTTTTTTTTTTTTTTTTAATTGAGCATGTACAAAAGTGTATGTGTTTAAAAAACAAGCTGATAAAAGCATTGGTGAAAATGATAAAAGAGACCATTTACATCTTGCAAGATTATATATGTGTGTGTGCGTATGTATATATACACACTAATTTTAACATGTAGTTGCATTTACATACTTCTTTATGTGCATATGTTAACATCTACAAATGCACATTACTCATTGCATGCACACACACATACAAAATCAGTGTGACTGTTACATATAAACATTTCTCAATAATGTTTCATTTTAGGTATTCTTCTGTAATATATACATATTATATTATATATATATATATATATATATATATATATATATATATATATATATATATATATATATATATATATATATAGGAATTAGGATTACTCCATAATACTGATGATGATCATTTCATCTTATAAATTAAATTAATTTATAAGGATTTACAAATCCATCAGGTTAACAAGAAAAAACATTATTTTGATATTTCTTGTTTTCTTGATGATCATCAATATTATGGAGTAATCCTAATCATTTTGATTTTTCTTGTTAACCTGATGGATTTGAAAATCCTTATAATTTAATTTAAATTTATAAGATGAAATGATGATCATCAATATTATGGTGTAATCCTAATTCCTGTTGTTTGTAATTTATATGCTCTGTTCGAATAAAACACCGAGTTCTCTCTGTGAATCAGTTTTAATATTTTAATTTATATTCATAGGATTCACTTAGATTATACATCAACTGGATTTTCTATATATATATATATATATATAAAAAAAAAAAAAAAAAACAAAACAAAAAGAAAAATATTATTAAATCAGCTTTTGATAAGACTTGAGAACTTTTCAATACTCTCTTATATAAGAGGGAGATGGTGAAAAGTTGTCAATTTGACCAAAAAGGAATTTGGTCAGATTCTGCATAGTGAGCTTGCTCAAGTGTGTGTGTGTGTATATATATATATATATATATATATATGTATATGTATGTGTGTGTGTGTGTATTGGTAATAATTATGTTAGAATTAAATAAATACCTTACATTTATCATTTACTATTTATAGTTTGAAACATTTAATTTTATCAATAACTTGGAATCTAAAAATCTTTTCACATATAAATCTATGTGTATATACATACATTTGCAAAATCTTATCTAAAATTTTGAAAAATACAGTAAAAACATTTGACAGACCATGCCAGTGAAATTTAATACAACTTGTTTATTATATATATATATATATATATATATATATATGGTATGGACTCTCCTGTTGTATTTGATGTATGAGAGTCAAGCAGCTGAATTTCTAGGAACCGACAGCCAGACACCAGCACATGTGATTTGATCATAGTGGTGAAGGCTTTGTGCAGAACCAACCACACTTTCTGAAGGGCTGAATACAGAGACCTGGTGCACAACGTGCCACAAAGTCCCTAAAAGACCCTCTGCAGGTTTTGAATTCAGAGTTGTCCTTCTCCTAGACAAGTTGCCATCCAAGGCAATAGAACCCAGTCTGTCCTGCTATTTACCCATAGTTGCAGGGAGAAAAAGAGGATTAATGCCATTCCCAAGGGTATCAGCATGTAAGTGAATGTAATGGATTCTACGGGAATTCGAACTTGGCTCTCCAATTCTTCAATCTGAGCCACTATCCCCTACTCTACCGTCTCTCTCTCTCTCTATATATATATATTATATATATATATTACCAAATGTACATACACAATGTATTCTTTTGAACAACTACTGAATATGACCAACAAGAACCAAACACAAAATAAAAATTATTGGAAATAATCAAGAAAAATTAATACTGAAGCCGTTAAACTCTCCTTGTTGGTGATGATATATATATATATATATAAAACTGAGTATCTAATTGTGAGGTGTTTTTGTCTTAATATGCACGCACACATATTTATTCATTTATCAAGAGGAGTTTGTATTCAGTAAATATATTCACATCTACACACACATCAAACAAACATGTGCACACCTAAATAGGGTTGGGGGTGCAAGTGCTTATCGCTTTTTCAATCATACGGAATTCATCACCACTTACCTTCTATTTTTTTTTTGTCAAATGGCTTTCTTGGGTGTTTTTTGTTTTGTTTTGTTTTTTTTTTTCCTACCACCGCTCATCTTTTCCCGTTTAGTTTTTGCACGCTTTGTAAACTTTCCCCTCTTTATTTTCATCCCATTTTGTTGCTATAACTTCTTCTGACTCCACACCCAAACCACCCAACCATCTTTTCTCCACCCACCTCACCTGACATTTTTGTGTTCCTCTTCTTTAGATTCAATTTATTCTTGTTGTTGTTGTTGTTTTCAACAAAGAGTACAAAGATATTTTTTTGGCTCATCACAAAGCAATCGTGGAAAAACCTTTTGTTACAATACAGCTGTGTATTCGGGATATATATATATATATATATATATATATATATATATATAAATAAATTTGTACATACACATTTATACATACACAAACATAACTAGACACGCACACACATTTATACATACACAAACATACACACAAGCACAACTATATGCGTGTGTGTGTGTGTGTGTATATATATATATATAAATAATGATGCACATACATACATACACATATATTCATAAAAATAACTACATCCACATTATACTCTCTTGCTCACACATACAAAATACATAAAACTACACACACAAAATTCATAAAACATAAATACACAATATATATATATATATATATATATATATATATATATATATATATAAGAGGGAAAAGGCTGTATATGCATCTGAGTATATGCTTAATTTTATACAGAAAATGCAAATGTGAATATATAAGTAAAAGCTTACAGATGTGTTGGCAAAAACATACACACTCATACGTATGTGTGTAAGAATGTGTGCATTTATATTTATTGTGATGTTTTCAGGCAAGAAAAACTCACAGAAAATAAACTTTTTTTTTTGCCCTCACCTTGTCTTCTCTGATAGAGATCACTACTATTATCTATTGTATTTTTTCTTCTGAACACTGATTTCTTTTTCTCACTTCCCATTCTGTTTTTTGTAAACCCCCTTTCTCTTATATATATATATATATATATATATATATATATATATGCTTTTTTTTTTTCTTAACATTTTTCTTCTATATTTATCCATTTTCTTTCACTATTTCTTTGCCAGCAATAAATAAGAAATTTACTTAACTGTTGGCATATAATAATTGGTGGAATGTGACTCGTGTTTGTGTGCAAGAAGCTGGCAACGGTTCTAATATTAAAACTGAACGGGACAACAACGGCTGTCCACCAAGAATTGGCAAATTGTGAAATAACAAATGCCTTTTTCCCTTCGAAACAAAAAATAATCTCCAATGGCAGTAAAGAGAGATAAAAAAAAATAACAAGCCACCTTACCAAATAATACAATATGTGTGTTTAAACACTGTTTTTGGAACGGTGGTGTATGACAGTTTCGGGTTGGAGGTATCACAAATGGAGAGGAGGGTGCAATCTGCTAACTCTGTGCAATCCCTTTGGTGATCTTTAATTGGTACTGGAGACAAAATAAATTACCATAAAACAAAAAAAGCTATTTTTACTTTCCTTTATTCATACTAAAAAAAATAAAATAAAAACACAAGTGTCACATATACACATCAATATGTATCTGTGTATGTAAGTATATATATATATATATATATATATATATATATATATATATATATGTAGTCAAAGAGAAGTAAAAAAAAGAAAGATCCTAACTTCAATAAAGGAAGTAAGTCAGCTGGGGAATGTCAAAGGTCAAATAAAGAAAGAGAAAAGAAAAGAGAGGTAGAAGAAAATTAAACAGAATCACAAAAGAAAGAGAGTTGATGGAACAAATCTTGTAAAAAGAAGGAAAAGCTAGAGAGGAGGATGAAGTGAAAAAAGAAAAGGAAATGAGTGATAATGAGGAAAGAAGAAAATGGAAAAAAAGGCCAAGAAAAAGATAGAGCTAAAGAAAGAGAAGGAAAACCTTGTTTAGATTAAAAAAAAAAAAAAAAAGTGAAAATCTGAAGGAAAAAGAGAATGAAAATGGTTCATGGAATGATGAAGGAACAAAGAAAAAAAACGAAAAATAAAATAGAAAGAAAGTAAGAAATTGCTCGCAGAAGTGTATCAAAAAGAAAGATGCAAAAACAAAAGTTGTGAAAACTGCAAGTCAGTGCCACAGACGAAGAAGACTACATGCATTTATATCAAGGGGAGGGGGGGGAGATCAATTTGGACGGAAGCCAGTGTCTTCAATCAAGATCAAACGCACAAATTTTCTTCTCTTCACCCTTACCCAACCAGAAGACAAAAAAAAAAAAAAAAAAAAAATCTATGAGAGATCTGTTCTTTACAGTCCATTTTTACTTTCTTTTTGTTTTCATTTTCTGCCCCACAATGGTTTTTTTTTTTTTTCCCACCCATTTACACAACCCCTTGGCCTGGACATCAACTTCCTTCTACTCAATGGAAATACAAACAAGACAAGAATTTTTTAATAGTATTTCTAGTAACTAATGAGAGAAATGGAGATTTTTGCCTTTTCTTTTTTCTTGTCATGTACATGAAATCTGTTTGGTTTGTTCGAAGATAAAGAAGTGTAAAGGGCACTTAACTCTTATTCTTTTATTTCACATATTCTTGTCCTCAATCATGAAGAATTTTCTTTTCTTTTTCACCTCATTTCATTCTGATGATCATTTTTCCTTTCCTTTCATTCATTTCTCACAATATGAGATTTCGTAAGTTTTCCCTTCAATATTTTCTTCCTTTCATTATTTTTTTGTTTATTCAAATTTTTCATTCTTTCTCTTTATTTCTAATTTACTTTCTTTCACATATTTTCTTTTTACCATTGTCTTTTTTCTTTCCTTTCATTTCTAATTTGCTTTCTTTTTTCTTTTCTATATGTATTTTTTGCTATTTCTTAATTTCATCTATCTTTCATTTCTATCGTTCTCTCAGTTTTTCTTTCTTTGTCCTTCTTTCATATTTATTCCTTCAAGTATTTCTTCTTTTCATTTCCCTTTCTTTCTTTTTCTACTGTCTTGTATTTTCTTTTCTTTTATTTTCAAATCTTACATTTCACTATTCTACTTTCTTTTCTTCCTCCTCTTTTTCTTTCTTCTTAGCTATTTTCTTTCTTTCTTATTTTCATACTTTTTTTTCTCTTGTTGCTTCTTTCTCTCCCTTTCTTTTTTTTAAAAATACATTTTTGGTTTCTTGTTTCTCCCTCAGAACTTATTTTTATCTCCCTTCTCATTCCTGAACTGATCCAAGGGCAAAGATGGGGTTGAGGAGAGGCTAGGAATGTCCAGATGATGAAGCCTGTAAAGACTGGAAAGTGGCATCAGGGTTGAGGGGTGAGTGAAAGAATATAGAGGCCTGGGTTAAAAGTGAGCTGTGGTTGTAGGTGTTGAAGATATTTTTTTTGTCAAGGTAAAATGAAGGAAGGAGAGCAAGAAGGTCAATGAGGCACAAAGGTGGAGAGCAAGGATGAATTGGGGAGAAAAAGGGAATAACATGCTTGAAAGATGAGACGGAAAAGCAAAAACTCTTTACAGAACAGTGTACAAAAAGTAACAAACATTTTTGCCAAATCATTTTATATGTATATAATAAATGTATATGTTGAGGTTATGGATGATTCTCGGTAAGCATGTACATGATTATGTCATGACAGATATTAAATATTTTCTCACCAGTATTTGTGTGTGTGTGCGTGCATATATATATATATATATATATATATATATATATATATATATATATATATATATATATATATATATATATATATATAGCTCAAAAGTTTTGTTTTCTTAAGGAAATATTGTATTTTATACTTAAAAAGTGAACAAACATTTTGGCCAGCCTTTTTATATATATATATATATATATATATATATATAGGAACTTTGGTAGGAAAAAAACTATGGTGCTTTCATTGATGGATTTCATATTAACATCAAGAAACTGATTAGAGAA